GTCTATGACAAAAGAAGGAAAATGTGTAGAGTTCAAAACATACAGGAAATAGTTGCAGAGGTGTCTGTTCTTCCTTCCAACATATGGAAGATTGTATGTTCTTTCTTGAAGAGTTACTTCTCATCTGAGAGAGGAAATACCTCTTGCAGCTCACACCTCATGGGACCAAAACTCAAGAGCTTTATCCAAAATGGATGTGTAGCGTCTCAGAGAGATGATCTCTCTTTTGAACAGAGAAATTTGTACTAATTTTCAAAGAGCATGTGGAGGGCAATCATGCAAGAGCTGGTATGGAGATGGCTAACTGTGGATTTAAGACTAGAAACTGCTCAGAGGTGCTCTGATTTCTTGTTCTCTAGAGTTGTGAAAGTACCTGAGATATGGGGAAGCATCTATGGCAAACTGTGGCTTCTTGAAGATCTGGCTGGTTGAGAGCTTTACATGCAGGATCAAAAGTGTGACTTAATTTTCATAAGAGTGGTGCTGTTGGAGTTCCCTGGCCTGCAGCAGGCAGCTCTTGTCTCTTGCTCCAAGGTGAACCTAGTTGCCCAGAGAGCACTGCCTTACTGTTTGGGTTTTCCATGGATGTGTGACAAGTGTGTGGGGCCAGAGGAGCAGCTCTGTAGGTCAGGTGAAACACAAGTCAATCTTTCAACCCTGTCAAAACACTGGACAGAGCTCTCATGGTAACAGAGACCATCACCAAACACCGATGGGTATTTTATTGTTCCTTTCTGTAGCTTTAGGTTCAGAAAAGAAAAAAAAAAAATGAGGTTCCATAAAATAAAGCCTTGAAAATGCTGGCTAGAGTGAGAGACTAAAGTCAAAATGGAGAAGTTTCTGAAATTCGCTTCTACATTTCTAAAATACCTTTCATTTCAAGGAAATTTTAGATTGTTCCCTTTTGGTACAGAAGAATCTTTGGCAAATCGTGAAGACGTGGAGTGAATGGAATGCCATGGAGAGGTTTAATGACTAGATAATTGCATTTATGATGAATATGCTTACACTTGGAAATCTTATGTTTTGCTGATAATTATTTATTTGCTAGATTAACTGCATATACACACTTGCACAAAGTATTTGTAATTGTAGGGTGACCAGTACAAAGGGAAGAGGGACTTTGATTCCTTAAAGGAGTATGTGGATTCCCAACTACAGAGCTCTGGGAAAGAGCCACCAGCAGATAAACCCACCGAAGCCCCACAGCCACCCACAGAGCCCACCCGTGTTGAGGTAAGTGCTCCTGCACTCTGCAGTGGTGTTAAAAGTGTTCAGAGCTTTTCAGCAACCTGTCCAAGTCTTCCATGTGTTTCTCTCTGGTTGCTTGACAATTTCTAGATGTAAACTGTACCAAATACTTCCCTGGTTATTTTTGGTTTTTGGGGTTTTTTTAGTAATTAATGAGTGGAATCAGACCATAATTCCTAGTGATACCTTTACTAACCTGATGAATTGGAGAAGGAAAAAAAAATCTGGCTCCTTTTTTACAGTTGCAATAAGTTGTTTAGATAGAGTGGCATAAATGTGGTCTTTTTTGGTCTGCGGACCTGCTGGCACCTCAGTTTGTATGACAGCCTATTTCATCACTATGGAGATGAATGTTTCTTGCAAGATTCTTACTTGAACCCAAGAGTATGGCACACACTGCTAAGCCCCTAAAAAAAGCCAGAGTCCTATACTTACCATCTGCAGAAACAACAAACAAGCTAAGATTATGCAGACTGATCTGGAACAGGTTGCCCAGAGAAGCTGTGGATGCCCCCTCCCTGGAAGTGTTCAGGGCCAGGCTGGACGAGGCTTTGAGCAACCTGGTCTAGTGGAAGGTGTCCCTGCTGATGGCAGGGGGGTTGGAACTGGATGATCTTTAAGGTCCCTTCCAACCCAAACCATTCTATGATTCTATGTGGTAAGGTAATGTGTCCTGGGACAAGAAAACTCCTCAGATTTGGAGGCTTACTTGAATCCTGGTTGTAGGAGCTACAGGGGTTATGAATGTTGCCAGGGAATTGGCAGGAATAACTATCAGTCGCCTTTGCATAGTTGTACTTCATGTCATTTAGTTTTCTGGGGTTTTCTTAATCACTTTGGTGTTTCACCTGCCATTTTTCTTGTAGCTGAATGTAAAATGGGTGAGGTTGAGAAATCAGGGATGGTTTTCAAGCATTCTTTTTCATCAAATGTGGAAAATATCCTTCTGCCTCGAAAATAAGGGACGGTGATTTACACTCCCTTCTGACACAGAATTAACTTATGTGATTTAAAATCATCAATATTATTAATAAAAATACAGTTTATAAGCAGCTTCTCACAGGACAGTATTACCTTTCCCAGCTGACCTTTCCAGCAGGATTACTCAGGTTGCATAAAGTGCCTTACCAAACATTATAGACAACATAGATTTGCAATTTTCATACCCCTCAATTTTCCTTTTTGGAAGATCCTAACAAGCTGGTATTAGTACAATGCAGAAAGTAATTAGTTGTCTTTCTATTTTTATAGAAATAACACAAACAACATGTGATGCAAATTCCCACTTGGGCCTTGCATGCACCAGCCCACATACAAGCAGGAGAAGATTGTGAGGGGATTTTTTTTTTTGGACAAATAATAGTAGACACAGTGTAGGCCTCAGCTTTATCTTTGCATCTTTACATCGCAGCTTTGGATGCCACCATTTCTTGGTCTCTCGTCTTCAAGACATCTTGGTTCTGGTTTTATTTTCATGAATTTTGAAACGAGGGCCAGTCCATCTAGCCAGCAAACACTGACTGCATTTACCATCAGCAGCCCACAGCTGGTACCACAGGAGCAAAGGCAATGAGTTCCAACTCCAAATCTGTGTCCCAGAGTTGAGTCCCTACAGAATCACAGAATGGTTGGGGTTGGAAGGGACCTCTGAAGGTCATCTAGTCCCACCACCCTGCCCAAGCAGGGACTCCTGGAGCACATGAACCAGCATTTTGTCCAGACAGTTTCTGAACATCTCCAGGGAGAGAGATGCCACAACCTCGCTGGGCAACCTGTTCCAGGGCTCAGTCACCCTCACAGTAAAGAAGTTCTTCCTTATGTTCAGGTGGAGCTCCTCAGGTCTTACATGGGCCAAGTACCTGACAGCCCTTTCACAGAAGGTTTACTGTTATGTCCGTGAGACTTCTCTCCTGCCAGACATCACTAAAATTACTCAAAAATGATCCAGATGGATTAAGGTAGCGTGACCAGCAGATGTTCAGATTATGTGATTACCTAAAATGTCTTTTCTTAAGAACCCAAGCTAAAATTGAGCTATCTGATATTAAACTTATTTTTGTGGCCACATAGTTCACATTGCTATTCTGATAGTAAACTACAGACCTTTAAAATGTGTTTTACTGTGTGGATGGTGGGGAAAATGTTATTTCAGATTTGGTATTTTAGATTGTAAATGATGTTTGGAACATCTGTTTTAGATATCTGTGTGGGAAATTTGGAATAGAATACATATTTACTGCTCATTTTTTCTTCTTTTAATTATTTGTAATTATTTAATAATTAGAAATTATAATTTCTAAGTAATTCTTTAGAGGTAGTAACACTTCAACTTAATGAAATCACTTAATATCATGAACTAACAATTATTTCCAGAAATGTTTAAAGGTACTGGATAATTTCAAGTTTCTTTTTGGCTTTTCTTCATAAAACTCTTACTGGGTTTAAAGTAGAATTGGTAATACTGTCTGTTGCACTTTTGTTTTTCTTTTGCTTTAATTGGAATTTAAAGCTTTTATAGGCATGTGAGTTATTTATTTATTTATTTTATTTTCAAGCCCTCCCACCCTTAAGGGTCTCACAAAAAAACCCGATGTTTGTTTGTGCTCTCATATGAGACCGTCTGTAAGCAACGTGCTATCCTCCCATCGCTCCCACCAATGTTATCAGGAGTAAAAATTCTTCTGGTGGCCATGAGAGTGTGGTGTGGTGATGTTGTCTTGACAGCCAAATACGTGTTTCTGGTAACAGTTTTGTCTGTGTGTGCACCACCAGGCTAAAGCAGAGGGAGAACAGCTGCCAAGACATCACTAGTGTGCCTTAAATACCTCGTTGAACTCTCAGATGGCCATTATGTGCATTAAGCCAGCTCCTCTCAGAGCTGTTCCTTGAAACATTTGCATGACGTTGTAGTAAAATGAAGGTGATTTTTCCCAACTAAAAACTCGGATACAGGCAAATCCCCTGAAAATAGGGGTGTTTTGTTTCTCCAATTCTGTGTGTAATTCAGCGTGAAATACACATTTCTCTACATCTCTCTAGGGGAAGAAAGCAGCTGAGCGGTGAAAGTGAGGTGTGCTGCTACTACTCTAGTTTATATTTTCAATAATATTATCTTTTACAGTTTGAGTTTTCCTTTCATGTAGCTAAAAGCTTGTTTGTCTGATGTTATATATACAAAAAGTTTTTACTCTTTTTTTTTTTTTTTTAACAGGCTGCAGTGCTTTCTCTCTCTGAAAAAGACTTTGATGCAACCATTGCTCGAGGGATCACCTTTATTAAATTCTACGCTCCATGGTAAGAAGTTTGTACCTGTTGTTGTTCAGGATTATTGCTGGTCTGAGCTGTCAGTACATTAGTTGCTGTAGGTCTTCTGAGTTGTGTGTAGTACTGTATTTGTTGTCTGGATCTAAAACATGAATTAACTGAAGATTGTGTGTGTTGGCAAGAGTTACAGCAAAAAAAAGCTCAATCTGGTTTAGCTTTCTTGGGATCCCTCTCTGCGGAAAGGCTGACAGAGAAGCCGGGTAATGTGGGGGAACAAGGAGCATGAAGCTTTCTTTGCAGGCTTACCGTGCTTCTATCCCTTGATTAGGGTAAGGTGAGGGGAACGTATCACTAGTGTTGAGAAAGAAGAGCGTGCTGGGCTTTGGGCCCTCTCCTGCCACAACCAACATCTTTTGGAAGCCTCATTTGAGCACCTGGGAATTGGTACAGACTGTAGAGCTATGGATAATTGTCTGTTACTCTTCAAATAACTGACAAAAACCTAATTTGCAGAAGTGACAATTTTGAGATCTTAAGAGTATATTCCATGTAGTATGTTCTTATAATGACCCAAGGTAGAAATGTCCAGTGCAGATGGTGTAGGTGTAGACACTCAATGGAAAGCACTGGGAGGAAAATAAAGTAATGTCCTACCTGGCACCTGCCATTACTGGGACATCCAGCACAGCCTGGGACCTAAGCTGTGGTAAGACCTAAGTATTACAAACTCACAGAAGAAATATTTGCTCCCCTTTCTTACTATTTCCCTTCTGAGACAAAAAAAAGCCCAACAAAAACCAAAAAACCAACCAAGTTCTAACTCTCTCTGCACATTTCTTTCTCTTAGCCAGTAGAAGGAAGCCTAGGGTAAGGGGGAGAGATTAAAATTAAGCTGTATTTTGCTGTGTGAAAGATAACACATCTCTGATTTCATCGCTAGCCATCCCATTAATGCAGTATGTAAAATTTTAAAAGATCTTTTGTTTGTGATGGTGAAAGGTCACCATTACAAAGCAACACAAGCAAATGCAACCTGTATTTAAATGTGCTCAGGAGTATCAAAATAATTACAGCTGAACTTGGACAGTAGGCATAAATGTGTTTCTTACTGTAGGCAAGAAGTACCAGGGAAAGTTTTGTTTTACATAATCCTAATGATGCAGGCTTTTCCAGTGTTGTCACCCTTTTTACTGCAGTGTGGTTTGCTGCTTGAGAGCCAGTTCTGTGCTCTTACATCTGAAAGATCTGCTTTTGGATGTGGGCAAGTATATGCCACCACTGTGTTAAGAAATACCCTGCCCACACACACACACACACACACACACACACACCCCTTCATGTTTATTGCTCTTTCTTCAATCGCTTTATCCTTTCTGTGCACTGTGAGGGACTGAGATTCAATCTGTGCCTGTGCTGCTGGTGAATTCAGCTGACATCAGTGCACAAAGCAGCTGCCAGTCTGATTTCTGAACCCAGGGATTGTTGGCAGAATCAGGATCACAGAATGTTGGGGATTGGAAGGGACCTCGAAAGATCATCCAGTCCAATCCCCCTGCCCGAGCAGGAACCTAAATGAGATCACATAGAAAGGTGTCCAGGTGGGTTTTGAATGTCTCCAGAGAAGGAGACTCCACAACCTCCCTGGGCAGCCTGTTCCAGTGCTCTGATGCAGGAGTTCATTATCTCAGAAACTTTTTCTTGAAAAGTTTGAGATGAAGACATGCTCCTTTTTTAATTAACTTTTCATAATAATACCACACTTTAACCATCTCCTCATCTCGTGAGATTCTCATGGGAGGCTGCTGGATCTCACAGATAGGATCAGTGGTGGGTGGCAGGCTGAGAAACGGTGGTTGAGGATGCAGAGCGTCAAGTTCTTAAACTGCTGTGTGCTCCCTGGCTCCAGTGTTCAGAAAGCCACCGTTTAGGAAAACACTTCCTGTATTTATGTAGCTGGTATCCTGGTTTGAGCTCTGAAAGTCGTTTTAGCTCTGACAGTCAGGCTCATGTATACAGTTGTAGCACTCTGCGTACAAACGACCTTTTTCTCTTCCACGTGGATTAACTGATGTAGGGCTCAGCAAACACTTATTATGTTGCTTGCTAATTCTGTCTTTCAGTTAGTTTTGGATAAATAATAATGTTAACTTGCATAGTAAGCATAAAATCATCCCGTTCTAGTAGTTTTTGTGCATGGTCAGAAATGCTTTTATACTGTCACTGTGCAGTAACAAGGTGGTTTAAATACACACTGGCTTGTATTAATAACATTTTTGCAGAGACATCTTTCCTTATTTTTGTAAATGCCCTTATCCAGCCTCGAGGCAATTACTGGGCTGTTTTAATAACCCAGTTAAGGTGCAGCTGGGTTAGAACAGAATGAGCAATGCAGCTTTAAAGTCTAAAGTGCTTTGGGAATTCTTCTTGAAGGCAGTAAGAAGTTCAAGTTATGAACTTGGCTAAGCCAAGTTCAAAATATAAACAAAATTAATACTTTACTATAGTTCCTGCCATTTTACAGTATCATTTTCTCTCCCGACACGAGTGTTTCAGTGTGTGTACTCTGTGGGCTGCATTCTCACATTACTGTAGACACATAAGGGAATAAAACAGAAATAGGCTTTTTGGTGTTATTGATGATATAACTGGAATTATTCTCTATTTAATGCAAAACAGAATAGAGCTTGATATTTTTCTTTTTCCATCTGCTTAAGTGAAGCTTATTGACTATCAAACAATTCCATTGCAGATCTACCTGAAAGTACAGTGGTAATGGTTAAACCTCAACGTACCTTCAGTGAAAAAGTACATTAAACTACTGGAGTGTTCCTTAAAAACAGAACCTGTATTGAGAAATGCCTCTATTAAAATTGAATTTCTGGCATAAAATGATGCTACATTGGTCAAGGAGGCCATTAGGAACTGGAAGAAGTTTAGTACGGAAATTAAAATCTCATTTAAATAATTAAACTTGGGCCATGTAGCTTTAGCACAATTGGCATATGCTACCTGAAAACTTAATTTGCACTACAGACACTCTGTGCCTTACTTAAAATATGTTTGTTTCTAAGTGCCTTTTTTTAAAAAAAAAATTCATTTAAATATTCTCTGTGCTCATCTTTATTTGGCTTCATATTTTTCTGTAGGGTAAAATGTTAATGAACCAACATCCAGAATACCATTCCAGATGAGACTAACGAAGGCTAGAAACTACTTCAGTGCTTAACTTAAATAAAATCCCTCGTTTTCTTAGCTCATTTACTGACATAATAGTCCAAGGGAGTTGGAGGGCCAAATCATTAGGGGATAAGAAAGGCAGCTAGTTAAACTTGCAGCAAGACAGTAGAGATAAACTGGAAGGTATATCTGCTAAACAAATCTCTCTCTTTTGTTTCTAGGTGTGGTCACTGTAAGAACTTGGCTCCAACTTGGGAGAACCTTGCCAAAGAGCAATTTCCAGGTTTAACTGATGTCAAAATAGCCAAAGTAGACTGCACTGTGGAACGTAATGTCTGCAACAGATTTTCTGTAAGTGTGAAAGATCTGAACTGAAGGGGATAGTATTGTGTACCAAATGTGAAGAGGCTGCTGCATTGCGAGTGCCTGGTGACAGTGCAGCTGTGTTCTCCATTAGCCCAAAAAAAAAAAGAGGTGGTTGAAAACAGCACCTGGTGACACTGTTTCTTTCCTGGACTGTTTGTTCAGACTCGGTTATTCTTATTATTAGATAAAGCTGAAGAAATCCCTAATTTAAGAAGCTGCCCTCTGTGAAAGCACCAAAGCAGTGCTTTGTGGTAGCTGATGCAAAGTTCTGTTCCTAGAAAAAAAAAAAATTAAAAAAAAAAGGTCTTCTGGTGATGGTAGGCAGACAAGCAAAGACAGAGCTGGAGCTGCCATTCCCAGCTGCTAAGGGAAGAGCCTGGAGGAATATGTATTATCCCATTTACTGATGTGTGTTCAGAAATTGCAAGTTGGCATTGGAAGTTCTGTTTGTTTGGGTTTTTTTTTTTAATTAAAAACAGGTTATTGTTTTAGAGGAGTTTGGTGACTTTTCAGAGTCAGGTAAATACAATTTGGACATTAGTAACAAGTTTCTTTTTTGTGTGTGTGTGTCTTTTGAAGGTACGTGGTTATCCTACACTTCTGCTTTTCCGAGGTGGAAAGAAAGTCAGTGAACACAATGGAACAAGAGACCTTGAATCACTGCACAGCTTCGTCTTGCGCCAGGCAAGGGATGAATTGTAATAAAAGTGTGGATGCTCCATCCCTGGCTGTCTTTGGATGGTAGCTGAGGGAATTCAATCATTGCTAATTTTCAAATAGTATATTTGGGGTGGGGGGGAGGGGGCACGGATTGGGGCATTTTCTTTTGTTTGTTTTTAGGAAACTGAATGTACTAAACATTGGTATCTTCCCTCTGTGTGTGTGTGTGTGTGTGTGTGTGTGTGTTAAAGACATGCTACCCTGTGTGTGAAGGAAAACTAACAAGTAGTTACTGTACAAACTGAGACTATTTTCAGCATTGGTAGTATTACTGCATTTCTGTGTTCCCGCAATGAAGTGTAAATGGTTTCCTTTGAGACTAAAATATATTAAGAAAACCAGCTTAAGGGCACCAGTAGAATATTTTTGTCTTCAGGTTAGCTTTGGTTAAAAAGTAATCCTTCCAAACTGCCCACCATTACTAGAAAGGTAAAAGCTACAGTTGTGTTGAATCACTTTTGCATCTACAACTGTACTTAAACCCTATTTGTCTTAATATAGCTGCTGGTTAAGAAATGGAAAGTCACAGGGGGGCTGAAAACACACACACACACACACACACACCCCTTTGGAAGATACCAGACCACCATGAGCTGGTTGTTCCCTGTTAATCCTCTCAGCCTGGGAGGTCTAGCCATAATGAAAGTGATGGTACTGTACCATGTGCCTGAACATTACTGGTGCCATCATGTACACATGTCAGGTGGATTTTCATAGGCTGCTTCTGTCCAGCTCCAGAGGAGTAACTGTGCTCTGCTTCTATAGAGCCAAAGTGAACAGGTGCTGTTCCAACTGCTCTGTTAATATTAAATAATCAGTTACACTTCAGAGCTGGACGACATGTTTCCTACCCTCGCCTGAATCCAGATTTTGTGCTGACCTGCTCCTTATTCAGCGTACTTAGAGAACAACAAGTAGTAAAATGTTTATTTTTTTTTTCCATTCAGCTATTCTATAGTAGTGTAAAATAGTTCCCTGATCTTCTTGAGCCTTAACCTTTTTCCAAGCTGTAAGTGTTGGTAAGTTGGAATGCTAGAACCATGCACTCTGTGGTGCCTTGGATTATATTATGGATCTATTCTTTGGTGTGTAAGATGTTCTATGTTAGACATGATCAAAAGCCAAAGAATTTATACTGCAGAGATTGTCACGATACAATGACAACGGCAAACTAAGGACTGAATTCTGCCATCTCGTGCATAGAAACTCATGGAATGAGGACAGCTACAGGCTAATTTGACTAACGTGTCAAGATGCTGATTTTTGTCCATCATATGGAATAGGGTGTTGGGGTTTTTGTTTTTTGTGGGTTTTTTTTTTAAAGGGGCAAAACAGCAATGAACTTTTAAATCAGTGAATTTCTCCTGGTACTTCACTTCACTTCACTGTCTGTCCAGAACTTTTGATTCTGTTCAAGCTAAAAACGTGTAAGGGTGAAAAAGCCACAGTGAAATCTAAGTGTTGTACTGGCAGATGTATTAGATCAATGTATATACTTCTGCCTTAAAGGAAGCCTTTATTACCACATTTTTAACAACTTTCTAGTGAAGCACAATCTCATGAGTTTCTTGTATAAAATCAAAGTGGTACAATTGTTTACACTGAGACTTTTCTAAATAAAAACTTTTTAAAAAAGCAGTCTTTCTATAAATGATACAGCACAATGAATATACAGTGACAAGTGCAATAAATAATAGCTTGTATTTACAAGAAGCCTTTTAAATGCAAGAATTAGAGGTAAGTGCATTTAATACAAGTTTAATATTGATCAAAACAATTTGCTATTAGCTTCTGCTAGACAATCCTATGCTGTGAATGTATCCTTTATACCAGTTTGTTAGTTGCGTGAGTTGAAGGGGAAAGGTTGGCCAAATACTTGCATATGTTGTTGACATTCTGTCTTCCTGTAAATAAATTGTCTGGCTAGAGAATGAATGGCCCCTAAACTTTTACGTCTGAATTACAGCCGTAGAAGCGTCCCGACTTCCTTCCTGGGCAAGTGGTAGTAGATGAGGCAGCTCTGCGGGGGAAGTGGAAGGAAGCTGCATAAGTAGAAGTGTATAAAGTGATATTGCTCAGTCAAATACTGAACTGGGAAGACCAGCCAGGGTCTGAGTTCATGCTAGTGTTTCTAACATGGGGTACAGCCAAGCCATCTCACACTTGCACCATCAGACACAGATGGTGCTTGGAGACTAAGAGAACTGAAACATTTGCTTTGGCACAATTTAAGATGCTTACTGTCATGACAGATTTCAGGAGGAGACTGACAGCCTAGGTGTAGTAACTGGTCCTTCTAGACAAAAGGCAATTCCTAACCTTAGGAACTGTAGATGATCTTGTACAAGAGGGATGCTCTCAAGTCTGAAGTACTAACACCACTTTCTTCACTCTAGCTTCCCTGTCTCTCCCATCGTCTTCACCCCATCCCCCAGAAAAAACTCACTTGTTTTTGGGTGTTGGGTGCCCATCTGCAGCACACATCCAAGCAACTGCTAAGGCCAAGCTGCTACGTGAGATTAAGACCATCCCAGCCAAATAAAGCGTGTGAATGTTGCTTCTTTGTGTGCCCCAGCTCTGCAGAGCTGAGTGGCCACCGTGGTGCAGGGTCAGTCTGTAAGAAGTCATCCAGCAGTTTGCTCATACCCCAGCAGTGTGCAGTCCTCACACAAGGCACATACGTGGTGTTCTGAAAGGTGGTTCATCAGTTATTCTTTTCTTCAAGGTCAGGTAGTTCATAAAAGCACAGAAGGTAGTGTGGAAGTTCATGGTAGCATCACAGAGTCCGTGTGAAGACTGTTTGTCAGTGACATCCACAAGCTCTTACTACCATATTCCTGTATTTCTTCAAGATTACGTTGGAATTGTCATCGAAATAAAGAACAGATATGGCATTTAGTTTAGTAGGTGCACAGCATGGTTTGGGAACGTAATCAGGATTCATAAGATGAACCTGTTGCCAGAAAGGAAAAACAACTGAGGCAATGGTAACTCGTTTACAAATTCACCTATTGCTTTGATATCGAGCTTGCTGGAGACTTACCAGAGTTTGTACAATGGCATGATTGGTTGCGTTCATATGGGCGTTGAGTGGGAATGAACACTCCCCATCACAGTAGTTGGCTGCGTAGCCCTTTGGAGCGATTATCCAGTCCTTTTTAGGAAACAAACAGAACATGATTCAAATTAAAAAGTTGCCAGCTTGTACAGACAACTGCATGCAATTAAGAGCAGCTGAAAATTTTCCACTAACTTTTTCTTGAGGGTGAAAATGTGTTTTCACTGAAACCGTTAGGAGTTTTGTTTTTTGGGGTGGATTTTTTTTTTTTTTTTTTTTTTTTTTTTTTTTTTTTTTGGTGAGCCATGACTTTTCCATGGATACACTGATTTTAATGTCCAAATAATTGTGCACATCTCTGCACAGCTTAACTACCACAAACTGAAAGAGTTTGATTCCTAAAACTGTCGCTGTGTTGCCTTGTGGGGATTGTGGTTTAGATCCCTTTATGTCCCAATGTTTCCTGCAGGTTAGGCCCTCTCCCTGAACTACCTTTCCGAGGTTAAATCACAATCTCAGCTGGTGTCCCCACCTGGAGAAAAATCATGTATGTGCACACACACAATTCAGCCAGGGAGCTCCAGAACGGGACTGTAAAACACCTTACACACTCTTGTACAGGGACTCTGGTCTGCTCAGGAAGTCTTTGCTGTGTAAGAGTTTCTTCCACCTCTGCCAGACTCCTAAAGGAGGGGTAGAACAGCCAGCCTGAGCTTCCTGGGCAAGCAGGTGGCCCCTGTGGCAACCTGAGTGCTATGCTATGGAAGAAGGTGACTCTTCCCCAGAGGGATAATAAAAAAAAAAAAAAAATACAGTTTCTCTGCTGCTGCCACAAAACAGCTAAAGGTGAATTAAAAGCATCAGCAATTAGCAGGAGCCATTTCTCCTCCCTCAGTGTCAGGCTCTGCAGTTCACCCTGCAGAAGGACGTACTGGTATGTTTCACATGTATGTAATTCTTCAACGATTTCCCCTTTCCCTGACAGCAATGACCTGGGTTAATCTCAATTTTGGTATTAGCAGACCAGAGATGGTTGCTGCAGCTTTGCTGACCAAATGTGCAGTTTGATTGCTAACATGAGGATACCTGGGCACAGCAAAACCACTCCTTCATTTTACTGTACTAGCTCACCCATAATTTGCTCCTGCCCTTCATAAGACAGTCACTTTCCTGATACAGAAGCCAGTACAGACCATGTAATTAATTTGTGGTTTAATGTGGTATAAGGGAAGTGCTCTGCTAAAAAAAATTGATGCTAAAAAAATGGATGGATGTTGTGAAGGAGACAGCAGTGTCCAACAACTGCTGCCCTGTCTCCATCATCTTCCTACAATAAATAGGATCTGGATTCCAACTCCTGCAATGAGCCCTTCCTTTGGCAACATCTTACCTTTCTGCTCAAGTCTGCTACTAGCAAACTGAAGGCACTGCCTTTGAGACCATTAACTTCACAACTGGGGTATGCTTCCTGCCTGGAAGTAGGGCAAGTGAGCTAAGGAGGAGGTGGAAAGACTGTGCACAAGTAAAAAGAAAAGCCATTAACAAGTAATGAGGAATGGAGCTATCATGCAGCCATAGCTGTGGCTAGTGGGATGGAGCTGATGTAAGCTACAAAAAATGCTGCTGTCTGATTAGCTGAGAGAGGACTTTTATGTGTAGAGTATTACAGAAGCAGCCGGGGTAGCCCTGGCATCCTGAATTATAATTTGGTAAAAACATCAGCTGATAGAAATGGGACTTGTCTCAAAAAAGTGCTCAATGGAAGAATAAAAAAAATAAATCAAACAATGAGAAGATGAGAGCGTTCTTTGAAACATACTATGGCCCCTGACCCTATATAACTTACTCTAAGCGACTCTCTGGCCTCTCGGTGTTGCAACTAAACCCAGTCTTCAGTCCACCTACAATTAGCCAGTGCTAATTGTGGGGCAGGGGTGGAGGATTTCAGTACAATGGCCAAAGTTAAAATTAGGCTGATCACTACAAAAAAACCCTTGATTTGGTTAAAATCAGTGCTTACCATCAGATTTTTCTTCTTCCTTATCATGAGAGGTACACAGCTATGAGCCCTTGCCCGTACTGTGACTCCCGTGAGTGACAGAGAACGACTGTATACTTGCATCTCATAAAGTATCAAGCTTCCTCTGGATCTTATCAAATGTCACAACGATCAATATTTATTTGCCCTTCCCTGTGACTGGTTTTAGTGGGGAGGCACAAGGGACATTTTAAAGCATAATGGCTGCCTTGAGTGGAATTACTGTGACACTGTTTAGATAACATTTCATAACAAAATGTCTAGTTTACCCAGAGAGAAACATCACACACCTGCCATCCCAAGTCCTGGAAGCTAACATAAAGCTCATGCTTTCTGCACGCTGTTTTTAAGTCACTGCTGTTGTAATCTGTTAAAAGAGAAAGAACAAAACAGGAATTTAGAAAGACAAACAGGCAGAGCATCGCTGGAGGGCACAGCTGGCCAGATGTGCGCACGCTGCGGGCTCAGCAGCAGGAAACGGCGAGCTCCCTCAGCAGCCAAAAGGATAAGGGTGTTGAGGGACATCCGAAGCAGGGCTGAAGCTTTTAAGATGTTTATGGGAATGGAGGCACCCAAGTAACAGTGACTTGGTTAGAATTCCTTCAGCTGCCTTTAATAACTTGCTTGACAAGTAGTACTTGTAAAACACCTCTTGTAAAATGACTTCTTAAAAAAAAAAAATTAAAAAGTCAATCTGCTTTTTCAGCCTGGCGCAGGCTACATCCCTGCTGGGTGCTCAGACTCACCCTGCTTCCTCAGCTGCAGTTTCCAATGTGTGCTGTCCCAGGTGGTAAGCTCACAACACACGTAGAATCATGGAATGGTTTGGGTTGGAAGGGACCTTAAAGCTCATCCAGTTCCAACCCCCCCTGCCATCAGCAGGGACACCTTCCACTAGACCGGGTTGCTCAAAGCCTCATCCAGCCTGGCCGAGAACACTTCCAGGGAGGAGAAGCCACAACTTCTTTGGGCAACCTGTTCCAGTGTCTGACCACCCTCACAGTCAAGAATTTCTTCCTAATATCTAATCTAAACCTCCCCTCTTTCAGCTTAAACCCATTTCCCCTTGTTCTATCATTAACTACCCTTATGAAAAGTCCCTCCCTACCAAGAGAATTACAACCCTGGAAGGTTAATCATTGCCTTGTGCTCCTGTACTGGTTAGCAGAAGTCCTTAAACAGCTATGATGTCCCATAGCCAGCAAGGCCATGTCCCCATCCCTTTCTGTGCCTTACCCCCAGCCTGCCCTGGACATTACACATGGCTCCACGCACCACCTCTGCTCTCAGACCTTTACAAGCCATGCTCTGAAAAACAAGCGTCTCCTTCCCAGAATCTGCTTATCTGCAGCCAACACAAGATTTGACACGTTCTCAATCTTAACCTGTTCCTTAAAGCCAATATGGCACCGAAAAGCAGGGGCAAAGGGTGCGAAGCCCTGACCAGAGACCTTCCCGTGACGCAACGTACGAAGATGTTTCGACCACGCAGGAGCTGCTCCCGATGGCCCTACAAAATGCAGCTTTTGACAGAGAGTGGAATTTCCCATTTCTGTTTGGAAAGAGAGGCGGCTCTGCACGCGAACACCTGGAACCGCAGTGAGCGGAGCAGCCGAGCCGTGACAGAGGGGCCTTTCACCCCGAGGTGGCTGCACAAATCCAGCCTTGGCGGGTGGTGGCTGATCTCCTCACGCCTTGGGCAGCTGTGGGAACCTCAGTCCAGCGGGCACAGAAACACAGCAGGGTGCTCAGGCACTGGCTATGGCTGCCGAACTCATGCTTCATGCCTGAAGGGAAGCACGAGAGGAAGAGATGGTGGCAAATCTGGCCGAGCAGCGCGGGAGGCCAGGTCCCCATCCATGCAGTGACACATGTGTACGTGTCCCAGAGCCGGACCAGCCGTGTTTTCCTTACCCAGGGGGCCTCCTCTCCTCTTGCACGCCTCATTTGTGCTTCCATCAGCAGGCAGATGCCACAGTTGATGCGCCTGCCTCCCGCTGCCCCGGCCCTTTTGGCTAACCAGCCCCCCCAGTGCCCCTAACACGGCTTGAAAGGGCACCCTCCCAGTGGAGCTTCCCCCAAATGCGGCAGCTGGGATAGAAAAATATTTTTAGTGACTTTTTCCTTGGCTCTGAATAAGTCTTTCTTTTTCTTCTCTCCACCACCCTGCCCCCCCTAAAGTTTGGGAACTACAAATGCAAATATTTATTCAAAAGAAAAACTATAATACTAAAAGCACATCCAACTGACATTAAGGGCAGCACAACATTACAGCTGGGTACAGTTAACACTGAGGTCTGAAAAAAAAAACCCCTACACCTCAAACCTAGCCTCCAAACCACCAAAGATTAGAGAGTTGTTTTTAGAAGCAGTTTGGGTTTTAAAAGTTTAAGGATTGCATTTCAGACTTTCAATAGCTTCGCTTCAATCATGGGTTTAATCAGGTGAGCAGAGCTGGTTAACAGCTTGCTGCAGCATAAACATTCGCTCTTTCAGGAGCGTGTGGTAGCAAGGATGGAGGCGAGTTTCTCTATTCAAGCTTTCCATTTTCAAACCAGACATAGCCTGTAGAAACCAGGGTGTGGTGTGGTTTTTTTTTTTTCAGATGAAGCTTTTCAGTCCCTGGCTCAGCCCAGGAGCAAATTTCTAGCATGCGATGTTTCTAAATGATCTGGTCATAACAAGGGGAAAAAAAATGAGCAGAAAATACTTTTAGTGGTCAAAGGCTTTCATTCAAGTACCTGAAAACATGACTTCATTGTTCTTCAATGGGAAATATGTTGTTTGCTTAGGAAAAAAAACATCTGTATTTGACAGGAGTTACAATGAAGTTGATCTACTCAGAATCGAGTGGGCAGAATTGCGCTACGTTCCAAATCCAGCTACAACTTACCCAAATCAACTATGCGAAAGGAGAGAAGGCAAGGGAGGCAGAGAAACCAGGAGTAGGAAGAAAGGCTGTGAACAATCACAAGCTTAAGAAAACAAAGGAAAAAAGAGAGCTGCTTAATAAGCTACACAAAGCAGAAGATGTTACGAACATGTCCTCTCTCACGCTGCCTGAAATTGGTTCACTGGCTGGCAATCGAGTCACCCAATTCACAGCATTGAGCACCACCCAAGGTAGACACAGACAGCTCTGCCTCCTCACTTGCCCAAATTCAGCCTTTGCGTCCTTAAATCCCAACATATTAAACATCCCCTCTCCTGGGATTTGCACTCTGCCCTGTTTAACCCTCACCTCAAGCTCCCCTGCCCTCTCTTCTTGTTACATCTTTGCCTACCACATCTACTTTACGGAATCTACTTTAGCCCAACTTCAGGGATGTTACAAACCTTCAATCAACCCTTAGCAGTGCCTTTCTGAATTGGGAAAAAAAAAATGCAGCCATACCAATGCACACGATAACAATTCATTCCCCACGGTCTGGGGCTCAGCATACGTCCTAGAGCCATGTACATCCCAGTTATGGGCCTGAAAAAAGAGGAATCCATATAGTAAAGGGTTTTGGCAGTGAGCTAAAGCTCGCTGAGCTACTGAAGTTGGCCTCCATGACATGTCTTCTCCAGTGCCTGGAAAGCAGTATCAGCTACCCCAGTCAAGCGTGCTCAACTGTTTTAGCCCAAATCGCTGTTGGAGGTGGTTTGCAGTGCAAGACCCAACAGCCAAGAGGCAACAAGGTACGTGTCCCACCCTGGCAGCCCTGCAGCAGGGAGCCAGGAGGGCTGAGAGGAGGCAGCCTGCAGTGGGGGGAGGCTGAAAACAACGGCCGTGGGATTGACTTTGGCTGCCACGACACAATTGGCAAGGATTGCTCACCAGAGACCTTCAAAATCTCTGCGAGTTCAGGGAGCTGCTTTGGGACCAAAATTGTCTCTTTTCTCCCCTTGAATATACTAATTCAGAAACACTAGCTTGGCAATTACAAAGCACTGCTTTTAATCAGACTGCAAACTATTTTGTCTAAAACAGAGATTTAAAAAAAAAAAAACCCAAACTCCTAGTTCTGCACTTAAAAATAACTTCCAGGGCAGCACAGTTAAGATAGCACAGTTAAGACAGCCTGTCCACACTAAATGTTGTCAGCCTTCACCAGAACCCAAGCCTGACTTTCTGTGAGCACAGCTGTTTCTCTTAAGGCTGGACACTGGCATTTGTGTTGCTGAAAGGGGAGAGAGAATAGCCTGACCCTAATGGTCTTCCTCCTACAGATACTTATGCGCCCACCTTAGATTTCCTATAACCTCTCCCACGTTAAGTGCTGGCAAAGAATATATAAATATTTACTGAGGTTGATCCGTCTGAGAACACCCTTGCTGCTCCCAAGGTGCCAGCTTACCAAATTCCACACGGTAATTAATTGCTTCTGAGGTCCAAAATAGCTTTGACAAAGGTCTCCAAGGCCAGCCCTTTCTTCTTGGTGTTTGACTTTGGTGATTTGTCCGGATAAAGTTGGTGTAAACTGATCACGCAGTTAGTAACAGCCCACTTCACATGAAAGCGATCTGCTTGGGTGGGAAGAAGGGGAGATGTCGAGCTGACATGGACCTGCATGTGAAGGCACACACAGAAACGCTAAAGGGAAGACTGGCTGCGAGACAACGATGTGTATTAACAAGACTCTCGCCACCACGAAAGCCTTTGGCCTTATTTGCCTCCAATATTCGTGCGTGCTGCCCTTTGCGGTATTCAGTTCCCATACACGGGGGGTGGAAACCTGCCTGGTGCCATGCATGTCTGCTGGAAGGAAAGGCCACTTGGAAGGCCTCTCCATTTCTCATGGAGCACCTCACACCACTCCTGGAGATCCTGGAGTGGCTAAAGAGAAGGAACAACCCAAGAAGGGGTTGTTGTATGAGTTTCCCTCAGAACAGCAAGTACAGCCTGAAGTCAGATGTTTAAATGTGACTCCATAAGGATGGGTTGATAGGAAGGGATGTGCCTGAAGGTTGACTTGCAGAAGAGGAGGGTTATCACCACTGGGCATTCAGGTAACTCACAGAAGAGCTGGTCATATGGCAGCAAGGCTCTTATGCTCAAGGGGTCACTGTCTGTTAGGTTGAGAACAGTCCCCATCTCTTCAGGTTAATCACAGGGTCAGCCTGGGGTCTGAGAGCACGAGCTAAAGCCACCACAAGACACAGCTGAGTGAGGGCCTCCAGGTCTTTCAGACAACAGCAGAGAAACACCTGCATGCTCCTCCCACCCACCTTGTTCCTCCATGTCCTAGGTCAGAGCTGGCATACCATTTTCTGCCTCAACAGACAAAAATACTCCCTTTTCTTGCTGTTCATCTTCCTGCAGAAGAACAGAGCTTGGCTCCAGGAATACATTGACACAGGACTCTATGTCAAAGCAGCCTATAACCATGAGGGTGACTCAGTTCTGCTTTCTATAAGCCCATCAAAATTATGTGTTTATAATACAGGGAAATGAGTGTTCTTGGTGAAAAAATACAGACCATTGAGGTTCTTATGCCACAGCCATAACCTCACCATCTGAGCACCTGGTACTGACTGCAGGACAACAACTGCACATCGAAAGGAGCACAGCAGGGTCCCAATCCTGCACATAGCCACATGCCTTCACGTAACCCCACGGCTCACCAGATCCAGTACCAGCCCAGCAGCACACTTCACACGCTCCAACTGCAGGACTCGAAATGCTTGCTGAATTTAGATAGTAAATGGTGCTTTTTTAAACATGCTGCCCCAACCCTACTCACAGCATCTTTTGGGAATGGGGTTCATTTTTGGACTGAAGAAAGAAAACCCTGTGTATTCACTAACATAGAGGAAGGAAGGTTCAGTCTACAAAAAACTATCAACACCCGCAACCTGCCTTGCTCTCCAGGAGAGAAACTGCCCTCAAGTCGTGATAGACAGTGGTAATCCTGGCTTGGGGAAGAGCACAGACCAAAAATCTGACAAGACATAAAACACAGCAGGAGAAGAAGATGCACTGGTGGTCAGATGCACAGAGGGGATCACAGCATCCCCATTCTGCACCCACTTTGGGTCCAGATGCATCAGGGCAGCTTCAGAAGAACAAGGCAGCCTTCAGGGTAACCTCCAGGCTCATGTCCTGTTTCATCCTGGGGTGAACACTTCCTCAGCCCCATCATCAGGGCACAGATCTAGGAACCCATACAACTAAAAAAGAAAAAAATACCCCTGTGATCTCTTGAATGCTAAAAACGTGTATCAGTCATCAGTGCCTCTTGGGCTATTACATCAACCACTTCTTAAGGAGAAAAGGGTCTAAGAATGTCACACTTAGAAAGGAAAATAAGCTGATGCAGTCTCTCTTTTCTAAACACAGAAACCAACCAAACATACATCTTCACTTTAAATTCCCCTCCTTTCCCCCGCCTTAAATTCACAGAGGCTCAACTATACCTTGTTGACTACTGAACTGCCAAATTCCAGGTTTTAAATTAAAGCTGGCTTGGAGCTAGAAGAGCTCAAAAAAGCCCTTGAGACCACAAAATGACCAGCTATTTTTTCCCTTTTTGTCATTTTATAACTTTATGACCTGATGTGTGGTGTAGACAAGAAAGCAGCCATGTTAAATGGCTCTTTTTGCCCAATATATCTGTTCCCTCTGGAGCTTTAAGTCACATCGTGCCTGATTTAATAGTAGTGAAAATTTGGTTTTAGCACTACGAAGCTTGCGGAGCTAGGGAGAGAAAGTTGGAACCTATCCTGACTCTGCTACCAGCACCACAAAACAGCAACGTAGTGAGTAACTTTCCCAAAGTGCTGTAAATACATTCAAAAATTGGCTGTTGTGATGAAGGGAGCGCAGCAGCCGAGCCCACCCGTGTGGGAGACTCACACGCTGCCTGCCTAACAGCTGGGTTCCTTGCTTAGAATGCCCAGATGAATAAACTACCTACGCCCTTGGGAGGCCCATCACATGGGAAAATAACCCAGTGAGCACCTTTAAAACTGCAGCTTGGAGATGCCAAGAAAAACCAGGAGGAAAGTGGGTCTCAGCAATTGGGACTGATGGACGGCTCTATGTGTGGGGCTGGCAGAGGGCTGTCATGTCAGATTAGATGACAACTCCTCTGGCAATGCTGCGCTGGCACTGGCCAGCCTCCCTCGAGGAGGTCAGTCTGCAGGACCAAGTTGCTTCTCCTGCCCTTAAAATCCATGAAGTGACATTTCATACCCAACCAAGTCCAGCACTTGCATGACATGGCATGGGAAACCACAGCCATGTTGAGGTGTGCACCACAAGGATCTACAATGGACACAGGTGGTCAACTGCTGCTGGCACGCACTAGCCCAAAGGGCAAGTCCCTAACCATGGTGGGCTGGAGCAACAGGGCTGCGTCTATGCCCAAAGCCTGGCCACCAGCCTTGAAAAATCTCCCAGCCTGGCTCTGGCTCCAGCTGCCTGCAGGCTTCCAGCACCATGGCCAGTATGGGGCCACCTTGAGCATGCAAGGGCAGGGGACAGTCTATAGATTGACACAAGCTATGTTTCAGCAAAGCTGGTTTATAGACTGGACATAGACTAAAAAATACAGGCACCTCTCTGCCTTGGAGTATAGTCATTTTCAGACGTGGGAAAAGCAGGAATCCTACTGGAAATGAAGGGGGCAGCATAAGCAAATTAATCAAGTAACTTGGAACAGGCTGAAATGTTTGAGAGGAAAGAAGGTACTCAGTGAATGAAGGTACCCAATGCACTGTGATGCAGGGCAGAGTGGCTATAAAACAGACAAGACTTTCAAGAGAGGACACAATCAATTTTTGTCAAAATTTCAGAGGTATCCTGTAGTCCCACCAGCCCACAACAACGCTTACAAGGCTGCTGTACACCACCTGCAACATGCAACCTTTCCACAGCCAACAGTCTCTTTGCCTGCCCGGAAATGCACTTCACTGTGTATACACTGCTGTTCTGATAAGATTTATAAATAAATAAATAAATAAATCTTGTGCTGTTCTACCAGGGTTTTCCAAAGAAAACCGAAAGAGGACCTGCTGGAAATGTGTATGTGCAATACCATAAACCTCCGTGTACGCAGAGACGGAATCTTTTCAATATTGCATTTCATGTGGTGTAATTCTAGGCAAATACTGTGTAGCAAGTAACCTACCAGCACAAAATTTAGAGTTAAAACGCCTCATGCCCCCGAATTCAATAGCTGCAACTTTACACAAGGGTCTGGACTCCACCCTGGATTCAAGGTGACTTCTGTAAGTCTCATTATGTGAGATTCCCTCTCCCATCCCCTTGCAGGTGTAACCTGTTCCCCCCAAGGACGAGCATCCCACTTTGTATGCCCCTTCTTGCTTTTGCACTCCAAAGCAAATAGAAACATTACAAGAAGTCTTGTGAGGAGCAGCTGAAGGAACTGGGATTGTTTAGTCTGGAGAAGAGGAGGCTGAGGGGAGACCTTCTCACTCTCTACAACTACCTGAAAGGAAGGTGTAGCGAGGTGAGGGTTGGTCTCTTCTCCCAGGTAACCAGCAATAGGATGAGAGGTAGTGGCCTCAAGTTATGCTGGGGAGGTTCAGGTTGGGTATCAGGAACAATTTATTCTCCAAAAGAGTGGTCAAGCATTGGAACAGGCTGCCCAGGGAAGTGGTGGAGTCACCATCCCTGGAGATGTTCAAGAAAAGTGTAGATGTAGCAGTCAGGGATATGGTTTAGTGGGCATGGTGGTGATGAGTTGACGGTGGGACTGGATGATCTTAGAGGTCTTTTCCAACCTGAATGATTCTGTGATTCTGTAAGTCGCCCCAGCTTCCAGACAGAACAGGTGTTATATGATTACCTGTGACACTAGACACCCTGGACACATCCTGAGCCTGGGTGGAACGGTTGCGGCTCTGTTGCCTGCGTCTGCTCATCGCTGACCTCGTGGTTCGAACATGAACTTCGCTCACTTTGAAGAAGGCCACCATGAAAGGCTGTTTGTCATAAGGGCCATCTCGGCCTATAAGGCCTGCTTCTCTAGGATTTACGCTGAAACCTTGAAATCAAACAGAAAAGTGAGTGTTAGAGAAATGGTGCTGTTGGGTTGCTCCTTCCAGAATCATGGCATCCCCATGAGCAGTGTTTCCTTCCTTCTTGCTCACACTCTTCTTTTATCACTAAACACTCCCCGCCTGCCACCATGACTGATGGACATTTTTATGACAGCACTTCAACCACCCAGGACAAGAGGCTCCACCACAGGATCTGGCTCTTTGGCATCCCTATGGCATCTCTACTCCAGTTTCAGCATTGAAGAGGTATCCAAATAGATATATAAAACACAAAGCCCAGATGTGACATGAAATTAGTTCTGCTGCCCACAAAACACAAGAAGGGGAGATGGGATTAGGAGACCTCTAGGGAA